AGAAGATATCAGCATATGTTCAAGTTCAAGAATAAGGTCGACACATATTTTGGTGAAAAAGTGGGAAATTAGTTGACGAGAAAGATTTCTTCTATAGTATACTTGTAGAAATAATTATTCTATATTTCCTGGAGAATATGGTGGCACAATTTCACAGCAAAAAACAAATGTCTTTCTTGCCATCATTTTCTTGTACGAGAAAGAGTAATTTAGTAAAGTTGATGAAGATACAGGCAGGACTAGATGTCCTGAAAACTGGCAAAATCAAAAAATATTATTAGACTGCTTTTGATTTAAGCTTAAAGGCCGAGAAAGTTCAGAAAATGTTATTGGACTGCAGTTACTATGCCTCTGTTAGCTGATAGATTCTTGTTGTGAGGCTCATTATGTAATTCAATAATGGAATTCTGGCCCATGATGAATGTCTGGAAATACTCTTGTTCATTTGGTGAAACTTTTGTGCTTCCAGATTGTCGTGAAATTCTAACTTGAATCGTTGCCTAATGAATTGTAATGTTTTTTTGGCTGTGGAATGTTTTTATTTATTTAGAGCTAACACCAGAAGGGTGCGAGATTGGTTTTCTTTTCAAAATGTTTGGGATATGGAAGTCTTTTAGGAAAGCAATAGCCTCTTTCATGAAATTGACTTATTTATATTCGAGATTGTGGGGTTTTATTTATTTATACAACTCTATCATAAGTGTTGCGGACATCTAGTCATCTTGTATTTTTACCCTTCTTCCCTAAACCAAAAGAGAATATTAAGTTAGCATTTGTCAGCTCAAATTGCGATGACTTTTACATTTATGAATTTTTAATTTTAATTTTTTGATTTTTGTATACTCAGATATCTTAAGGAGTACAGATTCGATATTTCAAAGTTGGAGCCGTTAGTGGCTAAGGTTGGTTATCTCCTAGCAATCTCTCTTTCTGGAATTCAATCAATGATCAATAGTATTAACACCTGTTGGGTTGTAAATATAATTCATAAGCTGTCAAAATTTGAACTTAAATTTTATACTATTAAGAGGTCAAGAACAATAGTACAGCACTCTTTACATAGCTTTAACCTTGTCTTCTTGTTTAATACTCTGGTATTATTTTCTCTGGAGATAAATTTCTGCTCATGTTGAGTACTGTCTGCTCCAAATGTTCTAAATCTTCTGTTAATCCTGCAGCCTCATTCTCCTGATAATCGTGCTTTGGCAAGAGAATGCAAAGATGTCAAAATCGACAGAGTATACATTGGATCTTGTACTGGTGGAAAAACGGAGGACTTCATGGCTGCTGCAAAAGTTTTTCTAGCTTCTGTAAGATGTTACTCCATTTCTCTATATTTGACCATGTAGTTTTTGATTCGGTGCACTCAGCAAAACACAGCTACTATTGTGATTTGATTGTACCTTTTTTTCTCCTCTGGCACTTCTCGTAAAAGCAAGCGCAAACAGCGTATTTCTAGCATATTCCAACTAGTTCGGAATTGAGGCTTAGATGACTGATAGATTAGCTTCTTTACCTTCACGATTTTGTCCATTTTGACTTCTGGATTATGATTGGACTCGACAGGTGACAACCTGATGTGCATGATATAATATTGCTGTCCATGTTATGCTAGTTTTTTTTTTTTTGGCAAGTCTATTTTGTCTTTTCTTTAGATTGTTGTTTTCCTATATTGGTGGAGTACAGGTGTGCAATGATGCTTCACCATGTTTCACAATTATCTGCAACTATTCTAATTGCTTCGTCGTTTCTTTTTGTGGCAATCTTAGCTCGTTTATTTCTGCTCCGCCTCCCGCTGGGAGAGGAATTACTTACTCATTTTTCATGATTTAGTCCTTATTTATCTCATGTTTACCATGCAATAAGACTCAGAACCCCGGATCAGGTCTTCAATTATGTTCTTCAATTGATTCTAAATGTTCAATCTTTTGTTTCTTTGTTATATAACTTAGAAAATGGAAAGTGTAAGTTCTATGATGTACTTCCAATTAAGCAGGATATATTAAATCTTTCATGCTAAACAAATAACATTGTCTTACACAGGGTAAGAAGGTAAAGGTTCCAACTTTCCTTGTTCCTGCTACGCAAAAGGTTCGTTAATCTTATTTTTCACCCTGCTCTACTATCTTGGTATCTTAGCTGCAAAAATATCACTGCAGAAGTACCATATGATGTAAATGTTGAAAAACTGTTTCAGGTATGGATGGATGTATATAGCCTCCCAGTTCCAGGATCCGGCGGCAAAACATGTTCCCAGATTTTTGAGGAGGCAGGCTGCGATACACCTGCAAGTCCTAGTTGTGGTGCTTGTTTGGGTGGCCCTAAAGACACTTACGCGCGCATGAATGAAGCTCAGGCAAGTTGTTAGTTGTTTTGAATAGTTGACTTACCATTAATATGCTACTCCCTCTATTCCAATTTGTGTTGCACGATTCGGAGTACGAGGGTCAAAGTTCTTAATTTTGTCTGTCAAAACTAGACATAGATTCTTCAAGCTTTTGAAAATAAAATTTACATTTTTGGAAGCTACCTCAAAAGTATTATGTCATAATAACTTATAACTCAAAATATTTATAAAATATTTAAGAAAAATATGGTCAAAGAACGACCTCCTAGACTCCCCAAATAGTAATGTTGCCACATAAATTGAAACAGAGGGAGTACTAGTTAGGTGTATTCGAATCTTGAGTAAACATCATTGGCGTGTCCGGAACAAATAGGATATGTGATACAATCAGACTTCTCTATAACAACATCTCTGTATAACAACCATTCACTATAAAAACCAAATTATTCTCGGAACTGATTCTTATTTTACGTTATAATATATGTCCTCTGTAAAGCTTCACTATAACAACCAGAAAATATCGGAACAAACAAGGTTGTTATAGAGAGGTTTGACTGTAGTAGATTTTTCCTTGACTAGGAATAAGTTAATTCAATCTTATGCCATACTTGAATATGCATTGGAGACTTTACAAACTCGGACATATTTTTATAAAGCTAGTTTATAGTGGTCACATCATTGAAATTTGATGTATTCTTATCGTAAAATTTTCGTTTAGAATAATTATAAATGAAGAGATAGCTTCAGAAGTTAACATGAGAAACATGTTTGTCTCTTCCTGTGATTAACCGTTTCTTAGAAATCATAAATGTTTCTTCTGCGTCTAGTATACAAATAATCGACAGCTATAATTAGCAACACGATATTTAGCACATAGACTGAGTCTAGAATAGTTTAAAGTAGCAAGAATTGTATGGACTTCATTTGTACTAGATGCAGAAGAAACATGCCGACCCCAACTTGTTTGGGAGTGAGGCATGTTGTTATATGGTGTAGTCATGATGTTGGGAGGTTATTAGCGTGCAGGGGCAGAGCTAGTGAATGGGTTACAGGTTTGGCCGAATCCTGTAACTTTAGTCCAAACCCTGTAATTGTCTTAAACAATCAATTCAAATTTTCAATATGTACAAAATTATTGACTTAGAACCCAGCAACTTAAACAGACTAGAATCCCAAACCTATGACTTCAAATCCTGGCTCCACCTCTGTTGGCAGGTTGGTAAATTTTGGAATCCCGAACCCAGTACAAAATTTTGCTTGCTATGTTCTCTAGAACCCAGGTTCTCCAGATGCAGAACCTTTCTATTGATGATTTTGAGAGTCAAGCTTGTCATTGGGATATAGGTCGTTACCTGACATTACGAATGGTTGATTTGCAGGTCTGTGTATCAACTACAAATAGGAACTTTCCTGGTCGAATGGGCCACAAGGAAGGCCAGATATATCTTGCATCGCCGTATACAGCTGCAGCATCAGCATTGACTGGTTATGTCACTGATCCCAGAGAGTTTTTGCAGTGAAGCGCTTTGACGATTAACTCGTTTTAGGAGTTGGGAGTATGTTGTATCACTAATAGATGAGTTGCAGCTTAAGCTCTTATGCTTAGGTATACCGAAAAGGGCAGCGCGCGATATGTTCTCTTTTTCTCTTGTTTACTCCAGGAAATGAATGTTCTGAAATGAAATGAGGAGTCCTTACTACTATTTATGTCTTCTTTCTTGTATTATTACTGGAGTCTAATAGTTATTGCATGGGGACAAGAATTTGCTTGTCATAATAATATGCTGATTTATGCTTTTTTGAAAGCTAAACTAATGACTTTTGTTTTTCTTCCTTTGCTTGCTAAGCCCAAATCTTGTGAATGTTGCCTTCTATAGAAACTGGTTTACCTCAAATATCATAGTATTATTACTTTTAGCTCGCGTCAGAAAATTTTTTAATATTATATATATATATATATATATATATATATATATATATATATATATATATTATAATTTTTTTTTTTTTTTTTTCTTTTCCGGCTATTATTTTTACAGTGGCTATATAGTATCATTTTTTTAGTAAAAGAAGGCTTGTCTACACCTGTGATCAAATGTAGAAACACATAGCTTTGTAACATCCACAAGTGTGACTTAGTGATTAATGAAGTGGAAAAAAGGTGTCGAGACCAACGTTCGAAACATGATGTGACTTTTTTCCATTTGCTTACGTTGGGATGTACTGAAGAAAGACTACTAAGGTTCAAATTTCAGTGAAGATATTACTCCCTCCGGTCCAAAATAAGTGATTTTTTGGCTTTTTTTTGTGGTCCTTAAATAAGTGATTTTTCCAGATTTCAAGAATGAATTAATTATTTTTTTCCTACATTACCCTTGGAGTAAATAGTGTTGGAGTATGTGTTAGGAGTTTTTATGTGAGATAGTAAAGGTTAATATGGTCAATTTCATTGCTAATTAATGTTAGAAGGTGGATTTCTTAATCTGTATGAAAACATCCAAAAAATCACTTATTTTGGACCGAAGGGAGTATCTTTTTTCCATTTGCTTAAGTCTAGATGGTATAGAAAGGAGAAAGTGCGTGCAAGTTGGTACGGACTACCACTATTAAAAAGGGGTATCAATCAAAAAGAAGAGAATATAATTATGAGAAATTCCGCTAAAGAAAACCATATATTATTTTGACAAATTCTGCTCCTGAAAATCCAAAGTAAAAGGATAATTACAGCATTGTAAATAAAAATAACAATGAACAAGTTTAGTGAAATGAGTGACCTAAACAACAAGATTGCCCAATTAAATTCCTCAATACCAATATACCATACTTCTTGAACTGGGCCTTAAAATCTAATTGGGCTTGGGCTTGGCATTGGGCTTTCAAAGCCATGATCGGCTAGCAGTTGATGGGCTACGGTACTTGTTGTTGAGACTTCTCCTTTGAGGCTTCCCACAAATGCATTGACATTCAAACCCACAAATATTACCAAAGCAAGAAAACAAGCTACTCCCTCCAATGGAATGCCTTCTCGGGTGACGTCCGGTCGAATGATAGCTGCTCGAGGCCATCCCACGATCGTATATTGGTGGAAGTTCCGTTCGCCACCTCTCGAGCTTCGACCGGAGCCCCTCGACGCTCTCGTCCAAGCTCCAACCATCCAACACTGAGCTTTTTTTATCATCCAATGGATATCTCTTTTCGACCAATGCAGCTGCCACTTCAGATGCTGAAGGCCCAATTTCGGACTCGGAAAAAAGAGAATTTGCCTTTAATGGGCCTCCATAAACAAACTTGCCATTTTGAATTGGGCCTTTTGGGCCTCCATATTCATTTCCACTATACTTCACAATGGGCTTTCCAATTTGTGGTATTGGTGTCTCTTTAGGTTTGTCACTAACTCCCAAGCCTTTGGACTTTGTAATTGATTGTTCATCAATTACTTTAGTTGTGGGCTCATTTTTGTTACCCATTTCTAACTCAATAAGTCTGAGTTTGGGCTTGGGCTTTTCATTATTGGGCCAATTATAACTAGATGACTCTTTACTCACAATTGAATCACTCAAAACAGAACCTGATTTACCTTTTTTACCTTCTGATTTTGGTTTTTCCCTTAGCTCTGCACCACTAATAACAGAACTTGCTTTTCCCTTCTTTTTCATCATATGAGTTGGAGGCTCAAATGAAATACTAAGTATTGAGCTCTCTTTCTCTTGAGTCTTTGCCTTTGTTTTAGAGGGAATTGCAACCATTGAACTATTACCCATGGAAATGTCATCGAACGTGACACGTTCACTACGTTCACTCCTTGATCGTCGTAATATAGGTTTTAAAGTATTGACATTGTTGTTACTATTATTATTGTTGTTGTTGTTGTTGTTGTTGTTCTGCTTGCTTTCGTTACTGCGTGGTAGATGTGCATCTTCTTCCATCAAGTCACGATATCCAACTGCTGACGCGCTAATTTGTCTATATAGTGGCATACTTCTCATAGAACCATCAAGCAATGCCACACCGATGTTCAGTATACCTTGAGGACGACCTGATGGACGACGTATCTACGTACACCAAAATAGATAGATCTTTAAATGTCAATTAAGATAAATTCAATTGAAGAAATATTGAACCATATGTTAAGTAGTAACTATCACCATTGTCACAAATAAATTAATTCAAAAACTTTAACAGAATTCTTAGCTACATATAGGTTTTAATAAAAACATGTACATTTGTTAAGGAGAATAATGATAAACAACAGATACTTATGTCGACTTCTTGATACCTAACTCATGATATGTAATGTTAAGCTATTGTCACGTTCATTAAAAGGGGTGAAATTAATTTGAAATTTCTGCAAAAATATAAAGAAAATAAAACAACATTCAGAAAGGTAAATTGGAAGAAAAAAAGAAAAAAAAAAAAAAAAGAGGAATTAAACAATAGAGAAGATCAAAGAAAATATCTCAAATTGATTGCATGCATGCATGCAACTACGTATGTTCGTACATACATATATTAGTAATCAATAACCAAGAATTAACATATGAAGAGAAAAAAATGAATGTACAGACATACCTGCAGTGCAACAAAACGCATTCCAAGATGGTGATTATGGTGGCCGTGAGCTCGAATAGGAGGGATTAGGTTTCCGACGAGGACACGAACCGTTCCGACGAGCGAGTCTCGGAACCAATGGACGGAAAAAATCTCAATGTGGACAGCGGATGTGTCTTGTCGGAGAAATTCCTCGTTTACTCGAAAAACAAACTTGTCGTTCCACGTAGGGTTGTTGCCACCTTCGACATCAACGCCCGTGGTGAGTTTTCGCGTCGGATGGACCCATGCAGAGGCGTAGGTTTTCATTTTCTTGGATGTAGGTTCCAAATCTTGGGCGGATATGACGTTTATTTCCAAGAGTTGGAACGGTTTCAACATTCCCATCTTGGAAATTGGTGGCATTTTGAAGAGTTAAAGAATAATCGTGATCGTGGTGATAGAAAGAAGATGTTTCGCTCGTCGTCCGTCTGAAAAGGACGACGAGGGAAAGGTTTTCGGATGGACGTGGAGGAGAGACCCCAAGTAAAATTGGGGTAAGAGAAGAAGGTGACCTCTCGAGAGAACATTAAAGCAACATATACGATGAAGAATTAAGTTAGAATCAACTTTGTGTTTTACATAATATAGCGTATTGACGCATTTAGAGGATTTTCTTTTTATTGTTTAAATGTTGTTAGGTTAAAAGGGGGCATCACTATATGGGCCTTATTTTTATGCAAGAATTTAGTCATACGTGGAATTTTCCTTAAAGCATTTAGTCTTCTTCGACTTGTGTATTTCTTGCGCATAATTTGATGTGTAAAATATACCTTATCTTATAATTAAGTTTTTTTAGGCATTATTCTTATTAAGGGGTAAAGGTGAGAATCAAATGTCCATCTACCTTAGACACCTATATAGGAGTAAGTTTCTTTTCTTCAGTAACGCAAGCTAGTCAAAAAAGAAAAATAAATTAAAATGAAAGAGCTTTTGGGGTGAGGAGATACTCGGGAAAAGGTAAAGAGAACAAGAAATATTTAATGAGAGTTGAACCTTACACCTTCATATGATACGAAGTAGTACAAAATTTATTCCCATTTTGAAATATTAGCGCGGTCTTTTCATGAGCCGAAGGTCTATTAATAATAGTTTCTCTACCTCCATAACGTAAGGAAAAATTTATATATATACTATTCTACCCAACTGTGGCGAATACCAAAAAATTTGCCTAGGATATTCAAGGTTTAATATATACTTATTTATAAAAAGTAATTTTTGATTATATATATAGTATAAATTTTTGTATACTCGGTATAATTTTTCGATGAACTGAACACCCTTCAATGTATGTGACTACATCATTGTTCCCCAAACCCACTATGTGATTGTTGTTGTTTGAAATATTTGTACCACTAACAATGAGTAATTAATCAAATATCTTCCAAGAAAATATAATTTTTTTTCTTTCTAATCAAAGATTTTTGGTCCAATTTCAAAAATAACTTTTTTTTTAATAGAAAACTATTTACTCTAGTTTAATTGGGGCCAAATCAAATATCCGACACTAGAACCAAAAAAAATCTTCTTTCTGTTATGAGAAAATTATATTGTGGATGTCCGTTTATTTCTCCGCTATAGATAATTTTTCTGAAAAAGATTATCTATTTAGTACTCTGTTGAAGTTTATCTATAAGCAGTTGATGCAGGCAGGTTGCAAGCAACTCAATGAAATGATTTGCAGCAGCTTCTTATTAAACAGGCAGGTTGCGAGCAACTCATGCAGACAGCTTACAAGCAGCTCAAGAAAAGCCTCGCATCTGCTTCCTGAAAAGCCTCGCAGGCCGCAGCTGCTTCCTTTCTTCTATAAATAGAGGAGTTTTCAGTTCATTATGTACATCAGTTTGATGTTAATATATCCGTTTCTCTCTACACTTGTCTTTACTTTACAGTCTTTATTTTATAACACGTTATCAACACGAGACTCTGCCATCTCGAGCAAATACTTTGAAAGTATCAGGTACGAACTTTCTTTTTGTAAATAATGTCAAATCTTTCTAAACTTGAATTTGTAGCCCTGTATATATCGGGCAAAAGCTACATGTCTTGGGTGCTTGATGTTGAAAGTCATCTTGATATGATGGGTCTGGAAGACACCATCAAGGACAAAAATCAAGCATCAAACCAAGACTGTGCCAAAGCAATGACATTCCTACGCTATCACCTTGATGAAGGCTTGAAAATGGAATATCTCACTATTAAAGATCCAGTCATACTGATAATTTGAAAAATATATATGACCACCTCAAGATGGTCGTTCTTCCACAGGCACGTTATGATTGGACTCATCTAAAGCTACAAGATTTTAAATCTATCAGTGAGTATAATTCTGTCATTTTAGAATTATTTCCCAATTGAAATTATGTGGTGATAATATTACTGATCATGATATGTTGGAGATAACTTTCACCACTTTTCATGCCTCGAATATGCTCCTGCAACAGCAATATCGAGAGATGGGATTAAAAAAATATTCTGAACTTATCTCACCTCTTCTTGTAGCCGAGCAACATAATGGGCCATTAATGAAAATTCACCTACTAGTTCTTATCCATTCCCTTAAGTGAATGAGACGAACTTCCACCAAGATAAGCGTGGAAGAGGTCGTGGCCCAATCATGGTCATGGCCGTGGTTGGGGAAGAAACTTTAATCATGGTAATTGTAATGCACCAAAGAACCCTCCTAACCACCAATAGTGGAAAAGGAAGGAATAAAAGCATGAACCGGTGCAAGCTATAAATGCAAAAAATACATGCTTTACATGTGGAGGAAAAAGGCACTGGTCACGTACCCGTCGTACGCCAAAAGCACCTGGTTGAGCTTTATCAATCCTCCATCAAGAAGACAGAAAAAAATGCTGAAGCAAATTTTATTTATGAAGATAATTTAGATTTCATGCATTTGGATATAACTGATTACTTTGCACTCCCAGAGAAGAAATAAGTCATGTGATCGGTGATGAATCTGCAGAAATATAAATATTTAAATTTATGTTGTTTGTAATAGATAGTATGGTTATGCAATTGTTGTACATAAATAAAAATTATACTTTGATAATGATGTTTACTATAATCTATTTTGTTTATGTCATTTTGAAGATGGATAATCCTCAAATTATGGTTGAATCAAAGACCAACCATGAAGATATTTGTGTAATTGATAGTGGAATAACTCATGCCATATTCAAAATCAGAAATACTTTTCTTATATGTATAGGAAAAAATGTTTCTACAATTTCTGGTAATATAAGTTTGATTGAAGGCTCCGGAAGAGCCACTATATTTCTGTCTAAGGGAACAAAACCTATTATAGACAATGCATTGTTCTCCTCCAAGTCCCGAAGAAACTTATTGAGTTTTATAGATATCCGCCAAAATGGGTATCATGTTGAGACGAGAAATGAAATGAATGTGGAATATCTTTATATTACAAAGAATATTTCTGGCCAGAAATGCATTGTTGAAAAGTTACCAACTTTATCTTCCGGCTTATACTATTCAAAGATCAGTACAGTTGAAGCACACTCTATCGTAAACCAGAAGTTTACTGATTCAAATACTATTGTGCTTTGGCATGGCCGCTTGGGCCATCCTGGATCAATAATGATGAGACGAATTATTAAAAATTCGAGTGGGCATCCATTAAAGAATCTGAAGATTCTTACAAATGATCAATTTTCTTGTGATTCTTGTTATCAAGGCAAGATAATCACTAGACCATCACCAATGAAAATTGTCATCGAATCCCCTGCCTTTTTAGAGTGTATATATGGGGATATATGTGGACCTATTCACCCACCAAGTGGGATGTTTAGATATTTTATGGTCCTAATAGATGCATCTTCAAGATGGTATCATGTGTGCCTACTATCATCTCGCAACCTGGCGTATGCAAAGCTATTAGCCCAAATAATTCGATTAAGGGAACAATTCTCAAATTATCCTATAAAGGCTATTCGCCTTTATAATGCTGGAGAATTCTCATCTCAAGCTTTTGATGATTATTGTCTATTAGTTGGGATAAAGGTTGAACATCTTGTAGCTTATGTTCATACTCAAAATGGCCTTGTAGAGTCATTTATTAAACGTTTGCAATTGATAGCAAGACCACTACTTATGAAAATAAAATTGCCCACTACTGTTTGGGACCATGCTATCTTGCATGCAACATCACTTATTCGTCTCAGACCGACACATTAATATTCTCCGTCACAATTAGGTTTTGGTCATGAACCAAATATTGCTCATCTACGAATTTTTGGATGTGCTGTATATGTGCCAGTAGCATCACCACAACACAGTAAGATGGCTCCCTAGAGAAGGTTAGGAATATATGTTGGGTTTGAATCACCCTCTATTATTCTCTATCTTGAACCATTGACGGGAGATTTATTTACTGCTCGATTTGCAGATTGTCCATTTGATGAAACAAATTTCCCACAATTAGAGGGAGAGAAAAAGGAAATCAAAAGAAAAATTGTGTGAAAAGTTTCATCATTATCTTATTTTGATCCACGTACCCCTATATGTAATCAAGAGGTCCAGAAGATCATCCATTTACAGAATATAGCAAATCAAATATAGCAAATCAAATACTGATTTGAAAAGGATAACTACGTCACATATCCATGCAGAAAATGTGCCTATTAGAATTGATGTCCCAGCAGGACCATCTACTAGCATGATAGCTAGTGAACCTAAAGCACGCTTGAAGCATGGTAGGCCTTTGAGTTCTAAGAATCGAAGTCCTATAAAAAGAAAATCGACAAATGATCAAAATGATACTATGAAGGGATCTCCTGAAGAGACCCAAGAACTGATTAGTTCTAAGATTCCTGAAGAAATCAATGAAACTGAGATTCAAATGAGCGAGGAACTTTTAATAAGTTCTACTGGTGATGGGATTAATTTAAATCGATCTGAAATAGTGGTGGATAATATTTTTGCATATAATATTGCACTTAACATTATGCAAGATAGTGAGGATCTTGAATCCCGATCTGTCGAAGAATGTCGACAAAAATCTGACCGGACAAAATGGAAAGAGGCAATTCAATCAGAATTGGACTCACTTGCTAAAAGAGAGGCCTTTAGACCAGTAGTCCAAACACCTGCTGGTATAACATCAGTTGGTCATAAATGGGTTTTTGTGCGAAAAAATAATAAAAATAAAATTGAAAGATACAAAGCTCGCCTTGTCGCACAAGGATTCTCACAACGACCTGAAGTCGATTTTGATGAAAAATATTTACCTGTTATAGATGCCACAACATTTCGATATCTCATCAGTTTAGCCCTATATAAAAGGCTTGAAATACATCTAATGGATGTAGTTACAACTTATCTGTACGGTTCACTTGATAATAAAATTTACATGAAAATCCCTGAAGGATTTAAAATGCCTGAAGCATATTCGAAATCTCGTAAAATGTATTCAATCAGATTACCAAGGTGTTTGTACGATTTAAAGCAATCTGGGCGCATGTGGTATAATCGCCTCAGTGAATATTTGCTGAAAGATGACTACATAAATGATGTTATTTGTCAATGTGATTTTATAAAGAAAATGGCAACAAAATTTCTTATACTTGCTGTTTATGTTGATGACATAAATCTTGTTGGAACTCCAGAAGAGCTCCAAAAGGCAATTGAATACCTTAAGAAAAAATTTGAAATAAAAGATCTTGTAAAGACAAAACTTTGTCTTGGCCTGTAAATTGAACATTCAGCAGACGAGATCTTTATCCGTCAATCTGCCTATACATAAAGGGTCTTAAAACGCTTTTACATGGACAAAGTGCACCCATTGAGTACACCAATGATTGTTTGATCACTTGAAGTGAACAAGGACCCGTTCCGACCTCCAGAAGAGGATGAGGAACTCCTTGGTCCTGAAATGCCCTATCTCAGTGCAATTGGTGCACTTATGTATCTTGCTAATGCTACAAGGCCTGACATAGCATTTTCTGTTAATTTACTAGCAAGATATAACTCTTCTACTATACGGAGACATTGGAATGGGATTAACCATATTTTGCGATATTTAAAGGGAACTCTTGATATGGGTTTGTTTTATGCTAACAAAGGTAGTGCAGATCTTGTTGGTTATGCAGATGCATGTTATTTATCTGATCCCCATAAAGCTCGATCTCAAATCGGGTACGTGTTTCCATGTGGAGGTACTGTCATATCATAGTGCTCCACAAAGCAATCTATTGTTGCTACTTCTTCAAATCATGCTGAGATAATAGCTATTCATGAAGCAAGTAGGGAATGTGTATGGTTGAGATCAGTGATTCATTTTATTCGAGAAAAATGTGGTTTGAAATGTGATAAAAGATCCACAATTTTATACGAAGACAATGCTGCATGCATAGCTCAATTAAAGAGAGGATTTATAAAGGAGATAGAACGAAGCACATTTCACCAAAATTATTCTACACATATGATCTTCAGAAAAATGGTGACATTGATGTGCAACAAATCCGTTCAAGTGACAATCCGGCAGATTTGTTCACTAAATCTTTGCCAACTTCAACTTTTGAGAAGATGGTGTACAAGATTGGAATGCGGAGACTCAAATATTTGAAACAAGGTTTTTATCGGGGGAAGTGAAATACGCGTTGTACTCTTTTTTTCCTTACTAAGATTTTTCCCATGGGTTTTTCTTGTAAGGTTTCTGATGAGGCAGCAAGAAATGCTTATTACTAAATATGTGTACTCTTTTTCTTTCACTAGGATTTTTTTCACTGGATTTTTCCTAGTAAGGTTTTAACGAGGCACATTATTTTTTAATGAACATTCAAGGGGGAGTGTTATGAAAAAAAATTATATTGTGGATGTCCATTTATTACTCTGCTATAGATAATCTTCCTGAAGAAGATTATCCATTTAATACTCTGTTGAAGTTTATCTACAAGCAGCTGACGCAGGCAGGTTGCAAGCAACTCAATAAAATGATTTGTAGCAGCTTCTTATTAAACAGGTAGGTTGCGAGCAGCTCATGCAGACAGCTTGCAAGCAGCTCAAGAAAAGCCTCGCAGATGCTTCCTGAAAAGCCTCGCAGCTGCTTCCTTTCTTCTATAATTATAGGAGTTTTCGGTTCATTATGTACATCAGTTTGAAGTTGAATAATATATCAGTTTCTCTTTATACTTGTTTTTACTTTACAGTCTTTATTTTATAACATTTTTTGCTTTAACCTTTGGGTTAAAGGCAGGGTAAGGTCTGCATAATGTCTATCCTTTCCATTTGTGGGATTACACTGAGTATGTCGTTGTTGTTGATGACTACAAAGCTTGAAATTCTTACGCGTATATCTTCTATGTTGGCACGTGGCTTTTCCCTATTCTCTAAGCTGTTCCCAAGTTCTTTTTATTTGTTATTTTTTTGGTTATCCAATAGCTTTTGTATCTATTTTCCCTCTTCATATGTTCATAGCAATGGCATATCTCAAACATCTTTACGTGCACCAACATCTACGATATAGTTAAGAAGAAACAAATCAAAGTTGTATATTGAATCAAGCGTTTGCTATCTTAAGCAACAGCCTTATATACAAATATGCTCCTTTGAAGTTCATCAACTCCTATTTCACAATCCCTTTTTGCAGAAAGTGTTAGCGTTATCTTTTAGTCAATTAGTTGTATTAGGACTTTATTTGAATTATTCTTGTAATTATCCTTTTCATATATTGTTGTAACTTTATCTTATAAATATAAGTCTGGAAAGGTGAGCAATTCTCACGCTTTGACGCTTCTCAGTTTATCAACCTTTATCTTGGTATCAAGAGCCCTAGACGATCCCCTTCAATGGCTCCAGAAAATTCTTCTTCCTCTTCTACTCAAACCGACATGAATCAATCTTCTCTTGGCTTCCCCATCCCCTCTCCAACAATTTCCAATATCAAAGGTTTTGTTCCTATCGAATTGACATATGTCAATTACCTCACCTGGAAGAGAGTTTTTCTCACAGTCCTTAAAAGTCACAACCTTCTTTCCTTAGTAGATGGAACCATACCATGTCCATCACCAGACCACGCTGATTACAAGCTATGGATTCAATGCGATACTATTGCATTAAGTTGGATTAATGCAACACTTTCTTCTATTGTTCTTGACACACTTTTGAACTATGCTTGTGAGACATCTAAACAGGCTTGGGACACCCTCGCATCACTGTATTTGGATCAAGTCTCTTCCTCATCCATTCACCTTAAGTCGAAATTCCAAAATTTCAAGAAAGGTCCCCTTTCTATGGAAGATTATCTCCAGCAACTTCACTCTATTGCCTGCTCTCTCAGGGCAATTGGTAAACCTCTGACTGATGATGATTTAGTCACTCAAGCTTTGCAAGGATTGCCTTCATCTTATCGTACCTTTGTGTCTGGATTAAATGCTACTGGCTCACTTCCTTCTTTCATTGCATTACGACCACCACTTCTCACTGAAGAAGCTCATATTAATGCAAATGCTTCTGAAGAGTCAAATGCTCAAACTCCGTTGCTTGCGTCAACTCAAGCGAAGACCACTTCTAATTCATCATCTTCCTTCAATGGAAATCAGCCTACAAAAGGATACTTCCATGGACGAGGTCGTGGCAAAAATAACAAGGGACAATATGGTAGGGGTCGAGGATACCACAACTCTTCATGGTCTGGTTTCCAACCTCAATCTCGGCCTCCTTCCCCTGCTACTGGTATTTTGGGTAGACCACCTTTCATTCCTACTAAACAATGTCAAATTTGTTTTCATTATAACCACACTGCGTTGGAGTGCAGAAACAGGTTCAACCATTCCTTTGTGGCTAACAATATTCCTAAACCATTTGCTGCAATGAATTTGGAGGAGGTTCAACCAACAGTTTGGTACCCAGACTCTGGGGCATCTGCGCACATGACAAATGATCCTTCTACTCTTACTTCTCACACTCCTTATTCTGGTCCTTCTCAAGTCATGGTTGGAGATGGTACTCTTCTCTCAATTAAATCTACTGGTTCCTCTATCCTTCCAACAACTTCTAAGCCTCTTCTCTTAAAGAAAGTTTTATATGTTCCGTCCCTTGCTAAAAATCTGCTCTCTATTCAACGCTTATGTGCTGATAATAATTGTCTTATTGAATTTACTAACTCTGGTTTTTTTGTCAAGGACTTGAAGACCAGAACACTGTTGCTCCACTGTAACAATTCTGGGTCTCTTTATCCTCTACGTGTCGCTCCATCTGCCTCCTCCATCTTTGGTCTCTTTGCTAAAGTCTTGCCTTCTTCCCTTTGACACCAACGTTTGGGACATCCTAGTCGAGAGTCTCTTAGTTCGTTAGTTTCTAGAAATTTAATTCGTAGTACTTCTTCCATCAACAATAATTCTTGTAATGTTTGCCATTTAGGCAAACAAACTAGAATGTCTTTTCCTTTATCAAGTAGTAATGCAAATTTTCCGTTCGTTTTAATTCATTCAGATGTATGGCATGCTCCTACTGTCTCAAATTCGGGATATCGTTATTATATTTTGTTCCTCGATGATTACACTAAATTCTCTTGGGTCTACTTGATGCGCGAAAAATCTGAATCCTTTGACAAATTCAAAGAATTTTATGCAATGGTTAAAAATATTTTCCACACCTCTATTTCTTATTTCCAGTCCGATGGAGGTGGAGAATACATTAACAAAAAATTTAGTTCATTCTTTAAACAAAATGGCATAGTCCATCGTTTTTCTTGTCCTCACACTTCTGCTCAAAATGGTAGGGCCGAGCGAAAACATCGACATATTGCGAATGTCCTACGGTGTCTTATCTTTCAAGCTTCTATGTCTTTTCAATTTTGGGCTGATGCTTGTTTATATGTTGTCTCCCTTATTAATGTTACTCCCCTTCCAGTGTTGCGTTTTAAATCTCCGTTTGAACTACGATATGGTCATGTGCCAGATTATAATTTAATTCGTGTATTTGGGTGCCTATGCTATCCCTTTGTGGCATTTAATCATTGTTCTAAGTTTCAACCTCGATCAAAACCTTATTTCTTGGTTCGTCGGATAAACATAAAGGATTTAAATGTTTGGATCCTTGCTCAAATAGGATTATTATCTCTCGGCATGTCCATTTTGTTGAGGACTCATTCCCGTTTTAGACTCTATTTCCTACTCCTACTCCAAGTACTTCACCTAATTCTAAATTTCCCGTCCATATCACGCGTCGTGGTAGAATTTCCCCCCCTTCTGTTTCGCAACAACCCATTTCAAATAGGAAAAATCTTCTGCTTCCTCCAACTTTGCAGAGTCCTATTTTACATGGAAACAGTCATCCTACTTCACCTAATTTGCAGCATCACATTTCAAATAGGAGTCTTCAAACTCCTTTGAATCACGAGAATATTTCCAGCCTTTCTCCTTCTTCACCAGGCACTCCTTCTCCTTCCCATTCTCAATCACCTTTTGATCACGTAACTTCTAATAACCAACCTATTGTATCCGCTTCGAGTTGCTCCTCTCTCTCTCCTATTGCCCGTGATTCTTCATCTCATGCACATTCTACACCAACTCTTTCTTCACCCGACAATTTTCAAGTATCTCGCACACAATCAACAACTGTACAACCTCAAATTCATCATATGACTACTCGCTCTAAAACAGGGTCTCTCAAGCCACGCATTCTTCCTTCCTTGATGGCTTCTACATGTCCCATTTTATCTGAACCGTCCTCCTTTGCTCAAGCTTCTAAAGACACTCGTTGGATGCAAGCAATGAGTTCTGAATTCGATGCTCTCATTCAAAATAAAACTTGGACTTTGGTGCCTCCTCCTCCTAATGCAAATATTGTTGGCAACGAATGGGTGTTTCGAATCAAAGTTTGTGCAAATGGCTCCGTTGAAAGATTTAAAGCTCGTCTGTTGAAAGAAGTTCATCAACTCCTATTTCACAATCCCTTTTTGCAGAAAGTCCAAATAGAGATTTTAATAATTCCTCTGAACACTATTTTGGCAAAGTCTCATTTCACCCTTCAAACCATTTATGTTCTTTTTCATGCAACTCTGAATTCAGCCCAAAACTCAATAATCTTCGCCGAAAATCGTTTCGGAGAGCTCAATCTGATGGGAATTTAAAAGGGTTGGTATCAAGTTCAAATCTTGATCAAGTGCATAGATCAAAGGTAGTTTCAAGATCTTGTCATAAGCAAGAAAAGATAATGTTGCAAACAGAACCATCACTTTCTATTTATAATCAAGATTTTGAGGAGTTTAATGATGGAAAATTGGTGAAGTCTGTTACTATAGGAAATGATATAGCAGATATAGTAATTAGTGATGATTTCGACTTTGGAAAAAGAGTTATGGGGCTGATAGAGGAAGATGATAATGAAGAATTAGGTGAAGTAAAGAAGATAAAGAAAGAATTTTGGATGGATTTAAAGATATGGGAATTGAAGGAGGAAGTGAACCAGTTAGTCCAATGTATCTTGCTTCTGGATTTGGGATTAATGGCAATAGCATTGACAATAGTGGTGTTGTGACGCCTCTGACGGAAGGCGGGCTGACGAGAGCGGCTCATGGTTCCAGTGACACCCCTTGGTCAGAAAGTTACACTACTTCAATAGGTAAATTTTTTATTTTTATTTTATGTATATATACTATATATGTGTTGAATCCCATTGGCTTCTTTGTATGTTTGGACGTTAAATTTTGACACTTAGTAAAAATCCCGACTCCGCCACTGCATGGTTCTGAGTCTATATATTTAGATAAAACACACTTTACATTTTGACGCTTAGTGAAAATCCCGACTCCGCTGCTGCATAGTTCTGACTCAATACCTTCAGATAAAACACATTTTAAATTTTGACACTTAGTAAAAATCCTGACTCCGCTACTGCATGGTTCTGACTCTGTACTTTCGGATAAAACACACTTTAAATTTTGACACTTGGTGAAAATCTTGACTCTGCTACTGCATGATACTGACTTTATACCTTCAGATTTTGATGAAAATGGAGATGTTGAGGTACATTATAAGAGGTTGCTCAAAGAATATCCTTCTAACCCTTTGGTCTTGAGGAATTATGCTCAGCTTTTGCAGGTCAGTCTATTGACTCTACTCACCATTCCCTTGACAGAGTGTATTTTTTATTTTCAGTTTATGAACATGGCTAAGTCTCCTTATATCTTTTCGTTATGGATTTTCTTCAATGAGAGCTAAAACTGCAAATTAGTACACTTCCTTAGTTTGAATTTATGTGGACTTATTTGACTATGCACGAAGTATAAGAAAGAAAGACTTTTTAAACTTGCGTCCTTAAATATGTCATACTATTCGTATGTGTATTAGACTTGAGAAGTTTAAGTTAATTTATTTTCAAATTTGGAAAGGGGTGGCTTAAACTGGGCGGGAGGGATAATAGTTAAAACCATGTCTGAAAAAGTATCCCTGCTCCTCTCTAATAGGCTATAGGCTACTTCGAAATTATGTGTCCCTTATAGAGCATTTGCATAAAAACATGCAAGAGCAATCATTGGGCTTGTGTTCTCAGATGTCGACGATGTATCATACCCAAAAGAGGTCAAGAAACAGTGACAAGAAATCTTCTCGACTCTTTCCTCCGATTTCAGCTTAAGATACCGACAGTTGAAATTGATAAAATGAAGTGTGTGTATTCTTTTTTTAGTGTTTTTAGCATCATTTGTTTTGTCCATAACATATTTAAGAATGATTCGGAAGGTCACAGGGACGCATAATACGTCCTGATATAAATTGCTATATGGGTCTAATTTTTCTGTGTAATTCAACAAGATCTGCTCTTAATAGATTTTGTAGTGATTTAGCTGGATGAAGCATACACGAAATTGTGACGTCGTATGCTGTTTTACCCTTAAAAACTCTATTCTTGTTTCCACATAATGAGATTTAGTCCAAGGCTTGGTTCTCATCTGATATTTGTGTCTTTCATAAACCTACTGCAACTTTGACAGTCAAAAGATGATCTTTCCGGGGCTGAGGAATTTTACTTCCAAGCAACACTAGCAGATCCAAAAGACGGGGATATCTTGTCTCGGTATGCTAAAGTGGTGTGGCAGCTACACCATGATAAAGATAGAGCCTTGAACTACTTCGAACGTGCCACTCGTGCTGCTCCTGAAGACAGTTAATAATAATCTATACCTTTGAATCTTTACTTCTCGTGAGAGCATAAATCTACAGGATATTGACATTGATTTTTTGTTTCCAGTAATGTCCTTGCAGCATATGCTAGTCTTCTTTGGGAGATCAATGATGATGACATTGACAACGAGCACGATACAAACACACACTCCGATCCTCTCTACTTTCTTTCAAGTGTACATGTAACAATAATTCTTTGGGATTGAAGTTGTGTCTTTTCTATGCGCCATATCTCAAGGAAATCGAAGAAGTTACTATATTACAGGACATGGATTGTAACGGAGATAACAGACCAGTAACCCCTCCATTGCATCTTCCAGCAGGACTTGGGATTGGGAATGGTAGATTTGGTGGTGGAAATGCCGAAGATTACTACAGGAGCATGATTCAAGAAAATCCAAATAACCCCTTGTTTTTAAGAAACTATGCTCAGTTCCTTGATCAGGTAATGTGGCCTTATTTTCATTCTAGGTTAGCACTTATACGCTTAAAATGAAGCAAATTGAGATCCATTTTTCCGCTTCCTAGCTTATTGTGTTCTAAGATGTCATAAAAATAAACATGTGAAATACTTGCTTTCTTTCGTTCAGTTTTTCTTTAGATCGTTTGAGCAGGGAGATAATATCGAAATCTAGGAATATGCCACTTTCAATTAGGTTTGGAAAAACAATAATGACTCTGTATGAAGGATTTTTTATGTACATGAGCTTTCACGTCATTGGTACGATGATGACATGAGTTGAGCTTAAATCGAGCAGTGAGGATTCATATAATTGATCCCATATTGTTTGGGACTGAGGCATCGTTGTTGTTGTTGTTGACCTTTCGCCTCAATCAAAACGCGTGCAAATACAGACAACAAATGAAAATAGACTACCTTGAGACACTTACAGCATACTTTTTCAAGCGGAAAATTCTACGTTGCATTAAAATGAATGTTAGTAGATGTTACTTGTAAGTTTATATTTGTCATTGTGCTTCTTGTTCTTGGCATGGCAGTGTAAGGGAGACTTAAAAGGAGCTGAAGAATACTACTGTCGCACAATATTAGCAGACGCTGATGATGGAAAAATTATGTCACAGTATGCAAAGTTTATATGGAAACTTCATCACGACCAAGATAAGGCTTCGTCTTACTTTAAGAGAGCAGTTGAAGCTTCTCCCGGAAACAGGTAGTGATGAACTGTGTTTAGCCATAAAAAATCTTTCCAATTATAGAAATATTAACACAGCCATAAAAATTCTTCCAATTATAGAAATATTAGTACTTTAATACAAGCATAAATACTATGGAGTTAAAGACAGAATACTTCTAGTTTGATTACTACAAATGGAATGAAGGAAAGTGCTACATTGATACCATTAGTAAGTAGAAAAACAAAGATTTTACATTCTGCATATTTATTATGCTGTTTCATATCAAGTTCATTAATTCTCATAGCGCGATGGAGCCTATTTTCAATGGTTTTAACTTAATCAAATATTTCCGATATGGAACATAGGACACTGTGGAACGGACACTCCTTCCCCAAATATTACACTATATGTTGAATTCCTTTGACTTATTTGTGTGTTTACTTCTTTATACTTTGACACCGCTAGTGAAAAACCTGGTTTCGCCACCGTTATATAGATATATGTGTAAAATACTGCTACTACTAAATTTTCGAGAAGTATTCGAATTCTGAACCCATAATATCTTAAGTACATTATATGTTATCGGTGCTAATATATGGTTGAACTCGTCAAGTTTATATTCTCAATTCGTCTCTATTCGTTGTGAACCTGTGCAGTTTTGCTTTCAGCGATGTACGTGCAGCATATGCTAGATTTCTGTGGGAAACAGAGGACGATGAAGACGAAGACGAAGGATTGGACAATCATAATGGAGTGCCATGTTTTCAACACTCAATTTGACAATAGTTTGGTTTCTCAAATTGTTCATTAAGTCCAAAGAGCTAATTTCTGATCATCTATTGGAGGATCACACAATGTTCAAGCTTCAGGATTGGTCCTACAGCTTGAATCAAGCAACTGAGTTAATCTGCATGTAACTGTTATTTACTGGTCAAATTAAGGTGGAAAAAGATGATGTTATATATCACCTTGTAGTGAGATTTCCCTGAAGAATAATGAGTAGCTTCAATTCTAGCTTAAGTTTGTGCCTAACTCCATTAAAAAAATAAGGAAACTCAGACTTGAATAGCGTCTCTTCAAAGCCTTTATTTTTTATATAGGATTGTGGGGTCCATCCCCTTGGTTGGCAATAGATGGCAATAGTCTTGTGCCTATTTTTGCCTATGAATTTACTTTGGCAGAGAAGCTTGGCTGAAGATTTTATTTGGACCCAAAGTATGCAAAAATATGGAGGAGAATCAAATTCTCCTGTAGCACACTTGGAGCTCAAGGTTATTTTTCCCTATAAAAGGCGGAGCTTTCTCACTTCTTCAATCACACCAACAAAGAGAGAAAGAGTGAGGCATCATATACAGGGTATAAAAAAATAGTCTGTAAGAAAAATAAAGAGTGTGAATGATAATGTAGTGAGGTGAGTGAAAATATCAAAAGAGGGTTATTTATTTTGATTGTTATAGTGGTCTTTATAGTATTTTACTCGGGCCTACAAAGTGTAAAATTCCTTACTATAGTGATATCAGTTGCTCCTCTCGAGGTCGTGGTTTTTCCCTTATTCAGAAGTGTTTTCCACGTAAAAATTTTGGTGTCGTTGTCACTCTTTTATTATTGTTGATTACCATATCTCGGTGCTACGTTATTATTCTATTGTTATTGCCATGAATGTTTATTCTTGTGGGAGGTTTATTTCCAACAACTGGTATCAGAGTACAGGTTCTGTTCGTACACAAAAATATTATTCACGGTTTGTAGTACTACACCAAATAAAATGTCCGGAGTAAAGTACGAGGTAGCGAAATTCAACAGAGATAGAGGTTTCTCAACATGACAAAGAAGGACGAGGGATCTACTCATTCAATAGGGTATACAAGGTACTAGATGCTGATGCCGAAAAGCCCGAGGAGTTTGAGGTGAAACTGCCTAATCTCTTGTTGAGGTAAAGCAGTTCAGACAGTCTGTTATCTCATCAATAGGAATCCATCAGTTCCATTGGAGTTTGACATCCTAGAGAGAGTTTGGACCAACAAGGAGATGTCCTACTCGCATCTGAAGGTGTTCGGTTGCAAAGCTTTTGCATATGTACCAAAGGAGCAAAGAACAAAGCTGGATGATAAATTCGTTCCCCACATATTCATCAGATATGGAGATGAAGAGTTCGGATACAAATTGTGGGATCCTGTAAAGAAGAAGGTCATCGGAAGCAGAGGTGTAGTCTTCCAAGAAAGTGAGGTTGGAACTACTGATGATTGTGAGCACGTGATTTTTGCCCTATATGAATTACTCCCATAAATTCAATTTCTTTCAGTGTTTGCAATTTTGTGGATTTTCGTGGCATCTTTTGTTAATTGTTTGCATTTTTGTCTATGCATTTTAATTAATAAAAAATATAAAAATTTATGTGCATTTGCAGTTAGGGTCATATTTTATATTTTTAGGTTAATTAATTAATCAATTGTGGCAAAATATGAAAGAAAAAAACAAAAATAGTTTATTTTCCATTTTGGCCTTTTCATTTTCGAATTTTATAGTTTTCTTTTAGTTTAGGATTTAGTTAATTTTGGAGAATGCAATTAGTTGTTAATTTTGTTTTAGGGTTAAATCAGGTTTTTATTTTGTATTTAACAAAATCTGAAAAAAAAAAGAGAAAAAGAAAAGAAAAATGAAAAGAAAATGGTGGTCTTTGATAAAAGATCCAATTGTTTGGGCCTTTTCAGAATAATTTCCCCAAGCCCAAACCCTTTTGCTTGTAACCCATCCAAATACCCAGCCTAGTTTCCCCGACCCGTCTCCCTTCGAGACTAAACGACCCCGTTTCACTTAAATGAATCTGAGTCGTCGAGGATCTTTGATTCAACGGCTCTAAACTAGGGGTCACTTAATATAAAACGGTCCAAACGCCACCCCTACCCCCCATCTCTCGTCTCTCATCACCCCACAGAACCCCCGTTACCCCCGCCCTGAACCACCGCCTGCCGCCCGCAGGAAATCGTCTACGGCGGAGGCTGGCGTTCAATCGCCGTGAAAATAACACCACTGCTTCTCCTTTGCCTTCTCATCCTAGATCCCCACCCCATTTCCCTCAAAACTCACTGAAACTCCTCGAATCTCTGTGTGAAGCCATGAACCCTAGCGCCGCCACAGTTTCTCCGGTGGCGGCGCCACCACCAAACTTCCCCAAAAATACACCCTGGAACACTTATCACTTCCTCTTCCCAAATCCCTAACCCATGCCCTTCGAAATCCCCCTAGATCTCGTCAAATCTTAAATCCGAAGTCCAATTCAAAAAGTTCAAAATCATCTCCCTTCAAACCTGGTAGCATGCAATGTTTTCTCGCAAAGCTGGCAAGCCTGACTCAACGAAATTGATGTCGATTCAGTTGTTCTTGACAAAGAACAACGAGGTCGACATAAGTTTGGTCGAGCTTTCCGTCTCCGTTTGGTTTGAGCATGACTAGGTAAGTTCTTCTTCATTCCTTATGATTTTCTTTCAGTTGATTCATCTTCCTCCTCATCCCCTTTCCCTTGGGTTGGTCAAAAATTCATGTGGGTGTTCTGGGTTCGAACTAGGTCCTCTTTCTGTTCTTCTATTAATTGAACTATATAAGTTTCTTGATCCGCTTGTTTTGTTGTTTTAGTTTCTGTGATTAATAAGCTTAAATGTTTCATTATCAGTTTAATTGTTTAGCTAAATGAAGTTAGGTCCATAATTAATTTGCTGTCATTTTAGGTTAGTTCATTAATTTTGCCTTTTATTTCCTTTGTTTTTAAAGAATAGTTTCCGGTTTGTTTGTTTTGGAAATTTTGGGTTAGTTCTAATCTGGGCCCATAAGTGTTGTAATTGGTTTGCAAATAGCAACAGGCCCAAATAGGGATTACATTTAGGGGTCTATGACCCAATTGGCTTGGCCAGTTGACCCGGTGGGTTTTAAGGGATAATAAGCAGGGGTTTAAAGGGTAATTTGGGGATTGTAGTTAGGGAATCTTTAGGATAACAGAAATAGGAAGCTTTCTAGGAAGCTTGGGTGGGGGGTTTTAATTGAATTTCAGACTTATAGTAGGTTAGCTTGGTTAACAAGTCAGTAAATGAGGGATCAAGTAGCAAAAATAAGAATTAGAAGAGGGTAGAGTTGAAAAAAGGGAAATCTGATAGTTGCCCTAGTCCCTTGCCTATAAAGGCACCCCAAACTTGCCTTGCAAGGGAGACTGAACAGATCTAAGAGAAGGAAAATTTCTGTAAATAACAAAATAGCTGAAAATCCTTGAAAAAATACTCTTCCATTGAGTTTTAGCTTTGTAATTTGGAATTTTCATTTCCTGAATCAATTGTTTGGATTCTAAAAAGGTTTGAGGTCGAGTCAATTAAGCTTGGTCTGTTGTTTGGCTGGGGTGTTACTTGTTTGGAGTTGATTCCTAGGCTATTTGATCTCATTTGTTGGGTTTGAAATTGGGTTTAAATTGCTGTTGATTGCTGCTCTGTAGCTGCTGATCCCTTACCCTTTTTCCTTCTGTTTCTTCTACATCCAGGTACATATCTCCTGAAACCTGTAATCTGATGCTCAAGTTGAAAGTGAAAACAAAATGTAATGGAAGTTTGGGAGTTTTGATGTTCAGCTGTGTATGCTGTTCATATGTTAATTGTTATTTGAATTTTTTTATATGTAAAGCAAGCTTGTTAAGCTGAATGTTAGGATTGTTTAAGTTCTATAATATGCACAATATGTGAATCCTGTTGAGTAGAGCTAGTAGCAGTTTATCTAGTTTTAATGGCTTTCGATTACTGAGTTATATAGATTCCACTATTTTTTTTTGTAGATGCACGCTTAGTATTGCCCTCTAGTAGTTTTGTTAGATTTAATAATTGACCTCTTGTCATTCCTGAGGCATGGAAACTATGAAAGACTAATTGTAGGATAGTATGGATTTTCCATGTGTTTCAAAGGTTTGATATCATGTTTAAAATGTTAGTTAAGATTTAAGTTTAAGTATCATGTGAGTGTGTTTAAACCTGACATGCGATTTGAATTTGTTGCTATTCTACTGTTAATTGGAATTTCAACAGCTAGTCATTATTTAATTGGATTCCTTGGTAGTTTGAAGACAATTCTCCAGATTCATTGAATTCTATTCCATCAAAGTGTTTAAAATTAGTTTGAGGCTTAAAGATTTGAGGCTGCATGTAATTTAATTATAAAAAATGAAGCCCTGTTTTTTTGTGATAAGTTCTGTTTGTGAAATGTTGCTTCCCTCAGGGACTCGATCTTGAGTCCCGCGTTCCAGCTTCAATGTTTTCAAATTGGGCCTACTATTGAGGTTTGGCCCAAACCTTTTTTTAAAATTGTTGGTTCTTTATCCACAGTATGTTATTGGGCTCCCCGTAATTTGGGGGTTGAGCTCAGGTTTGAAATGGAAATTGGACTCACATCAATGCTGAATTTAGTTCTGATATTTGTATCCCATTCTGAATTGGACTGGCGTTTGTAACGTGACATTGGGCTCCCTTTGGGCCCAGGATTGAGAAAATAGCTGGACTCACCAACAATTAAAATACAATAGAGAAATGGGTTTAAGCTTTGAATGAGAGATGGACGTCGGTTCAATTACTACCTTCTTTTAGTTTTAAAATCCCTTGTGAATTTTTAGGTTTTCCATTCTTTAACTAAGCTTCTTTAAATAGTTGAGGCGAGCCATATCCAATAACATAGACAGTTATGGCCCTCCGAATATAGTGGAATTAATCCTTTTAATCTAGAATTGAGGTGCGCCATGCCAAATAAAATGACAATTGCGTGGCCCTTATTTTAATTAATCTTGTATAAATCCTTAGAATTCGAGGTGTGCCATTTAGCAAAATTCCATGGCCCTCGCAAAGCTAAAAATGCGTAGTTGCTTCAGGCGCGTACTTTAATAATATTACCTTACTAAACTCGGGTGTGCATTTCATGTGACCCAAATCCAAATCTTTATAACGTTGAATAAAATGTGTTTCGGATTACGGGTGCATTTCATGTGACGTGATCCAAAGACATATTTTAGACGATGTTAAATCTTCTTTTAAAAATGAATAAAAGCGGTTAAAAGTAAAAATGCATAGGGTTAAATTGTTTCTAAAATCAGATAACTATGCCAATAATAGCAGTTGAGCAACCGTGCTAGAACCACGGAACTCGGGAATGCCTAACACCTTCTCCCGGGTTAATAGAATTCCTTACTCGGATTTCTGGTTCGCGGACTGTAATACAGAGTCAACTCTTTCCTTGATTCGGGATTTAAAACTGGTGACTTGGGACACCATAAATCTCCCAAGTGGCGACTCTGAATCTTTTAATCAATAAATCCCGTTTCGATTGTCCTTTAATTGGAAAAACTCCCTTTATTATACCCTACCTGGGGGTGTAATGAAAAAAGAGGTGTGACAGCTCTGGCGACTCTATTGGGGATAAGAACCCAGAACTTTTTGGTTCAAGGTTCAGAATTTGAGCTTAGATAAATTGTTATATTTGGCTTTATCTGATTTTGTTACATGTTTGGGCCTAATGTGCTAAATGTTGCTTTTTACCACTTTGATATTGGTGAACTGTATATAAATTGTTACGAATCCCTCCCCTCTCTGAGTCTTCTAAATCATGGAGAAGGGTGCACTTCGTGTAGCTTCTCTTCTGTTAGAGTCAATTCCCAAATTTAGAACGAGGTTCGAACAAGTTGCAAAGCCGGCGAAGCTTCTGTATTCCCGGTACGTTGCCCCCCGNGAGGTTACGAACAGTTGACAAGCCGGCGAAGCTTCTGTACGTTCCGGTACGTCGACCCCCCCCCCCCCTCCCCCCCGGCTCGAGTTGTCCGCTCGGGTAAGCCAGGTCTAGAACAATAAACCCAGGTTTTTAAACCTAGAATAACTCAGCCTCATGCCGGATCCCTAGTAGGAGCGTTTGTTGCATCACGTGCATTTGACTTAGGGGACTCAGCACTGGGGTTGGGTCCGTCTAGGACAGGTGTACCTAAAATAACAGACCATCTTGATGCATATTTTACGTGCTACTTGTGCATTTATTCGCTTCGGGTTTGCATGCCGACTGGCTTTTGAGTGATGGGAGAAAATTGGAAAAAGAAAATAGCAGTGTAAGGGTAAGTGAGCTAATCACCTGTTTTGAAAGAGAAAAACCAGTGTCCAAATGGTACTGAAACGCTGCCAAATTTTTGAGAAAATGAAAAGAAAAGGGTTTTGTTTTCAAAAATAGCTGGTTTTGTTTTATTTGCCCGAACTACGCCAGTTTGATTCCCATAGGGCGTGGGATACGTAGGCAACCCTCATCGGGTCCAACTTCCTTTTTGCAAAATTAGCCCAAAAAAGAACAAAATTTTATTTTTTATAAGTAAGGTGATGCCATTCTTGTCAAAAATAGCCGAATGTCCCTAAAAGGGCGCCGGAAGGCTGTTTTTGCAAGAACAACCACCTTTGGTCATTTTTTTTATTTTTGGCCAGTTAACGAGCACAGCCTTAAAATCTTCTTCCCCGAAGTGCTGAAAGGCCGTATTTGCAAAGAACTGGGTTTTATTTTGAAATAAACTTTTTGAAAATTGGTGTTGTTTCCCTTGAGTCGAACTGAGTCATAGTTTTCTTTTAATTAAAATCACCTTAATAAATGTGCAGGATGAGCACAATTCAAAATGAACCTTTCTCAATCCGTGAAGAGATCCCTTTGGAGCTACATATGTGGTGGCATGATTTGGGGGACAACAGCAGGAAAGTTGTGATAAAAGCGTTGGGTGGTCTTATTGGGCTCTTGAAGGTTAAGCCAAGAAAGGATCTAATTGAGGCCTTGGTGCCATTTTAGGATCCAACACATAATGTATTCCATTTTGCTGATTTTGAGTTAACTCCTACATTGGAAGAGATAGCAGGCTACGCCGGTTTTGAGGGGAATCTTAGAAAGCAATACCCGGTGGCGCCCAGAACAGTAACCCCTCACAAATTTTTGGACTTGTTAAGCATCAGTCGGGACATCCGAGACGGAAATTTGGCCAAAGGATTCTGTACCTTCTACTTTTTGTACCGACGTTACCGGGATCCCCATGGTTTCGAGACACCAAATACCGGTCTTACTCACGCAGGAAACTAAGTCAAGTGGGAAGCTCGGAGAGGATTAGCTTTTATAATGGCATTCCTGGGAATTTTGATTTATCCCAGAAAGGACGGGAATATAGACTTGGGACTTGTGGGGATAGCTGACTTTATGATGAAAAAGGCAAATGGGACCATAGTGCCAATGATCTTGGCAGAAATTTATCGGGCTCTGACCATTTGCCGAGAAGGAGGAAAGTTCTTTGAAGGGTGCAATATGCTGTTACAACTGTGGATGGAGGAGCACCTTTGCCATCGTCCGGGATATCTGAATTGTGGTATGACTGGTCTTGAATGCATCGAAAAACATGAAAATAGGGTAGAGGGTTATGAGTTTCAGGAGGGTACAAAAGCATGGTATGACCACTTGAGATCCTTGACTGCAAACAAAATTGAATGGACGTTCGGTTGGCTCTCGGTCGGTGAAGTAATCCATATGTCGGCTGAGGAGTGCTTTCTGCTGTTAATGGGTCTTCGGAGTATCCAGCCTTATGCTCCACACAGAGCCCTACGTCAGTTAGGCCGATACCAGACCATCCCATATGATGAAGATTTGAGTCGGCAGGTCATTGGGTTAGAGCCCAAAGCTGCCTTCCCAGAAGACAAAGTGCGTCGGATTTGACATCAGTGCAGATTTTTAGAGCCAAAAACTCAAGTACGCGATCTATCTAGAGGAGAGTTAGAGCCTGGCTACCCTGCTTGGTATGGCAAAAGATCCCGAGTTCATCAGGAGTCTGAAAGGCCCGCAAAGAGACCCCATGTCCAACAGTTCGCCGATGGAGCACAGGTGCAATGGGACTGGTTGATCAAAGAAAACGGGTACAGGGCCACCATAAGCAGGCTAGAAAAGCAAGTCACGGACCTTCAGTTTGAAAATAGATTGCAAGCCGCTGCAGATGAGGGAGAAAATAAAAAACTAACTCAGGAAAATGAAGCCCTCAAAGATCAAATCCGGAAGATGAAAATAGCTGCTAGAAACCCGGAAAGAAGCCGGGCGGATGAAAAGCTTATAAGCAGTCTGAAAAAGAAAGCCCTTGATTGCCAGGATGACCTGGAAAAGTTTGAGGCCAGTTTAGCGAAAGTCCGAGCACAATGGGCAAATAAGGCGGAAGAGCAGGCAAGGTTTGTGCAACAAATGAAAAGGAACTACGAAGGGACAACCACCAGCCTAAAGAGAAAAGTAACCACCCTCGAGAATGAGGCAGCCAAGCAGGCCCAGGATTTTAAAGCTGATAGGGAACACTGTTATGAATTGATGGCTCAGATGGAGGAAGAAGTGCAACAGTTGCAAAACCAACATCTCCACGACACTCAGGTGTTAGAAGCCCGTAATCAACAGGTCGGGCGTCTGCTTTAGGAAAGAGGTAGGACCCGAGAGAGGGTCAGGGCTATTGCCGATTATATTGTTGTGAAATGCCAAGCATGTGAGGATATGACTCACACCACTTTCTTTGCGGAAGTGATGACATTTGTTCAACAAATCATGAGTGATTTGGAGAGGCTCTAGGGGGATCTTGCATATAGGCTCGTGGCGAGGCCGAATGATGTCCCGCGGGCCCCAGAAGCATTCGAGGCATTAATGTATTCGTAATCTTTGCTTGAGTCTGTACTTTCTTGCTGTTGAAGTCTATCAGTTTGTCTTGAGTCTTTTAGTTCTTTTTCTATATTTTCATCTTTTGAGAGTCTGTTAGTTTCTTTTTGAGTCTGTCAGTTTCTGAGTCATTGTAATCAGGCATTTGTTTTGTTATGAAAAATTGAAAATCCCAAAATGCTTTGTTATTTATTTTGCATTTATGTCCCCAAGAACTACGCTTGGTCTGATTCATGCGGGGTCATGATACGTAGGCAATCTCCATAGGATTCGACCGTAACCAAATACAAAAAGAGAAACAAAAGAGAGGAAAAACAAGAGAGGAAAAGCAAAGAAAAGAAAGAAAATAAGAAACCGAGAGAAAAAAATAATGGCAAAATAAGAGGGAGAAATGAGAGAATAAAAACAAGAAAGCAAAGGCAAGAAAATGAGAGAAAAGAAAAAGAAAGGAAGTTGCAAAAGGAAATAAGGAAATCCGGGATGACGCATGCAACCGATCAAAGGCATAATAGAAACGGTTAACTGCTTAGGTGCATTCATGCCTATAATGTGCTTTTGCCAATCTGTTAAAGCCCTCTAACAAGGTTGTTGTTGATGTAATGAGTTCAGGCAGGTGCTTAGTTGATTGGCATTCTGGCAACTGACTCCTACAACACCCGATCTAAGGACAAGCTGAACATGGCCAACCAAGAACTAGAGGCGAGTATTGTCGATCCGTCAAGAGAGGTAGATGAATCGGAGGTTAATTTGAAAGATGAGATATACAAGCTGAAGCAGCAAATGGTTGAAATGTACCAGGCCTGGTTAAAAGGGCATCCACCACCGGTTTATCCCGCTAACCCTGCTTATATCCCACTGTTGGCTCAACCTCAAGAGCCTCCTACTGTGAACTCATCTCCAGCCTTTCCCACCTACCAACAATGCTATGGCACGACCTCCCAAACACTACCAGCTCCACCACCTAAACAAGTCCCTTACCCTCCTCCACCAATCACTCCTATTTTTTTGGCACCTCCACCTGCTGCATTACACCGATCTTCCAGTGAGCCTCTGTTCCAGACTCACGACAACCACTATTATCCCCCAGAACCTACCTTCAAAGCGCCAGAACCATGTTCTTACACTCCTCATTTTGATCTCTCGGAAAAAACTCAGAAGCCACCTAAGAACCCCGAGCAGGAAGAGATGATTAGGAAAGTCAAGAGCTTGGAACAATCTTTCACGAATATGCAGGGGCTAAGTGGTCAAGTATGTGTGGCGTATAAAGACCTATGTTTGTTCCCAGATGTCCAATTACCAGCGGGGTTCAAGATGCCCAAGTTTAACTTGTACGACGGGCATGGTGATCCAGTGGCACACCTAAGAGGTTTTTGTAGCAAGATGAGAGGGGCAGGCGGAAGAGATGAATTACTGATGGCGTATTTTAGTCAAAGTTTAAGTGGCTCAGCTTTGGAATGGTACACCCGACAAGATCATGGTCGGTGGTACACATGGGACGATCTAGCCCAAGCATTTGCCTGCCATTTTCAGTATGATCTTGAAATTGTTCCAGACCGTCTGTCATTGACGAAAATTGAGAAAAAGCTCGGGGAGAGTTTCAGAGAATATGGCTTCCGTTGGAGAGAGCAAGCAGCGAGGGTTGACCCTCCGATGAAAGAGAGTGAAATGGTTGATTATTTCTTGCAGGCCTTAGAGCCCACTTATTTTGGTCACTTGGTGTCAATGGTAGGGAAATCCTTTAATGAAGTGGTAAAAATGGGAAGCATGGTAGAGGAAGGACTCAAATCTAACAAAATCATGAGTTATTCAGCAATCAAGGCGACCACCCAGGCCATTCAAAACGGCACTGGGGGTGTATTGGGAAAAAGAAGAAAGAGGACATTGCGACAATTGAGTCAAGAGCTTGGTCCAGGGGCCCATCACCTTACTATAACCAGCCTCGACCCCACCTCCACACTTACCCCCACACTCCATATAGCCTACCACAACAATACTACCCACCGACAGATCCCCATTTTACTGTCCATCACGCTCAAACATACACTCAACCTGCGGCCCACGCACAATGGCGTGCGCCAACCCCACAGAACACCTACCCAGCTCCACAAAACACCTACCCACCTCCAAGAGCCTACAGAAATCCCCCTGGAATAGGTTTCCGGCCTAACCAAGCCATCAAGAATGAGAGGTTGCAGAATAAGAATACTTTCACTCCATTGGGAGAATCATATACTAGTCTATTCCACAGGTTAAGACAGTTGGGTATGTTGACGCCGATTGAGCCTAAAATGCCAAATCCCTTTCCGAGAAATCTTGACTACTCGGTGAGTTGTGAATATTGTTTAGGGGCTCCGGGACATGACATAGAGAAATGCTGGCAATTGAAAACAGCTATTCAAGAGCTCATTGATACCCATCGGATCGAGGTTCAAGCCCCGGAAGCGCCCAATATCAACCAGAATCTGTTGTCGGCCCATCATGAGACCAATATGATTGAGATAGTGCATAAAGGAGGAGAGCCGAAGAAGCCCTACAGACTGTAATGATGATCAGGTCCAGTGAAGTCAAGACGAGTGAAAAGTCAACAAGTGGGAAATCTTTGATCAAGTTGAAAGGGACAGACAGTAAACCAGTTATGGTAATTGAGAAGGAGTCCTCAAGCGGGGTTGCAGTGAAACAAGGAAAAGAAAAAGTAGTGGTACCAAGGGCAGTAAATAAGCCTATTGTAGTTGTGGAAGGTGCTCGCACAGAGCCTGTTATTATCAAACCGGTAACTCAGCTACCAATAGTCAGCAGCAAGGCCATCCCTTGGAACTATGGCCGAATGACAGTGACTTACAAAGGGAAAGAGGTTAAAGAAGAAGTTTGTGAGACCCATGGTCTGACTCGCTCGGGGAGATGCTTTGCCCCCGAGAGGTTAAGGAAAGCCAAAACCTCCAAAGATAACCTAGTGTTAGTGAAGAAAGTTGTGACCGAAGAAGAGGCAGAAGAATTCTTGAGGAAGATGAAAGTGCAGGATTATTCTATTGTATAGCAGTTGAGGAAGACCCCTACTCAGATCTCATTGATCTCATTTTTAATCCATTAGGACAAGCACCGCCGAGCGTTGATGAAAATCTTGAACGAGGACCACGTTCCTGACAAGATCTCTGTAAACCATCTAGAAAAGATAGCAAACAAGATTTTTGAGGTAAACAGAGTCACATTTTCTGATGATGAATTGCCCATGGAGGGTACTAGGCATAACAGAGCCCTTTATCTTACGGTGAAGTGCGAAGATTCCGTGGTTACCCGGGTACTGATCGATAATGGGTCCAGCGCAAACATTTGCCCTCTCTCCACCCTGGACAAATTGAAAGTGGACAACGAAAGAATTCACAAGAATAGTATTTGCGTTCGGGGGTTCG